GTGCAGCTGGCATTTCCCTGACCACAAGAGGTACCTGTATCTGATCATTCGTCATTTGTATGTCTTCCTTTGTTGGATATTTGTTTGCGTCTTTTGCTTATGAAAAACTGGGTCATATATTTTCATTACTGAGTTGTATATGATCTTTACATATTCTGATTACAGGTCTTTCTTCAGATTAATATATCACTTTTTTTTTTTCAGCTCATGTCTTGATTTTTCAGTTTCCTAATGGTGGCTTTGATAAGTATAAGAATTACTTCTTTCTTTTCCCCCTCCTCCCCCTCTTCTTTTTCTTCATCCTCTCCCTCTTTCTCTTTTTCTCCTTTCTTCTCATCCATTGCTCCTCCTCCTCTTCCTTCCCATCTTCCTCTTCCTCTTCTTCCCCCTCCTCCCCTCCCTCTCTTCCTCCTCCTCCTCCTCAGTTCCGAGAGTCAAATCCACGGTCCTCAGTGTGCCAGCCAACTGCACTACCTCTGAGCTACACCCCCAGTCTTAGTGAACACAAGTTCTGAGTTTAATGACGCCTGGATTATCAACTGAAGTTTTAGGGCGAGCCTTTCCGTGTCTTATGTGGGATTCCTTTTCTACTCCCAGGCTGGGTGGATGCTTCCCTGTGTTTTCTTATAGATTTACCTACGACATGGTCTTTGTATTCATTTTGTACCTGGGGTGAGGAAATGGACCAGATTTACACACGCATCCCCATTCCCCTCAATTGCTTCTACACTGTTTGTTGAAAAGACTCTCATTTCGCCATCAAATTGCACTGGTACCTTTTTGAAAATCAATTGTTCTATCAGATACGAGTTTATTCTTGGATGTCCCTCTTCTATTCCATTGATCTCTTTTTCTTTCCACCAAGCCCGGAACCCCTTGTTAGCTGTAGTTTTAAAGTGAGTCGTGAAATTAAGTGGCATAAGTCCTGGGGCTTTGTTCTTTAAACACCTCTTGGCTGTACTGTAATTCTCACATACATTTCAGAATTCTCTTGTCAGTTTCAACCCCAAAAGGCAGCTGAGTTTTGGAAGGGATTTTTCTGAATGCACGGTTCAAAGGGAGGGAAAACGGAATCCTAACAGTAGATCGGAAATGCTGTCTCTTGCCTGGATATTTCTGACTATTTCTTAGCAAAGGTCCACCATTTTTATGCACAAGACTTATCCATATTTTAAAAATGTATTTTTGGTCAATTCATAATTTCATATTGGCATTTTGCTTCCAGCTTTACGAGAGAAAGGATTTAAAATTTTATCATTAAGAAAACGTTTAAATATACATTCTCTTGTGGATATGCCCTGGGCTGTCTAAGTTGTCCTATCATGAGGAAGTTTGATGGTTTTTTTTGGAAACCATGAGTGAATACCAGACTCTGTCAAACACTTTTTTGCACCTATTGTGTTGACTTCACTTTCTCCCTTTCATTCTGTTAATGTGGTCGACTACAGCAACCTTTCTTCAACTGCTAAATCAGCTTTGTGTTTCTGAGAGAGCCCTCATTTTGTCAAAATGTATTACATTGTAAATTGTGATATGCTAATTTTAAAATGACTTTTTGTTTCTATGCCCCTGATAGCCATTGGTGCACTTGGAAAATAAAATCATTATTTGATTTTTATATCAGTGTAATATTGGCCTTGTGTAACAAGTTGATAATTATTCCCAATTATTTTGATATCTGGGAGCCTTTATGCCCTCCCTGTTGGTGTTACTTCTACTGCACCAGAGTGTGCTGTGAGTTCTTCTAGTGGCTGTCACTCCATCTCTCTCTCTCTCTCTTCTTATAAAAGTGACTAGATAAGAGCATTGAGGAGACTGAGGTGGCTCAGCAGGTAACAATGGCTCCAAGTCAGATGACCCAAGTTGGACCCCCAGAAACCATAAGATGGAAGGAGAAAACCAGCTACAAGTTTGACAAGTTAGCCTCCCACCTCCACACAGAGGCCACAGCACATGCACGCATTCTTGCCTGTGTGTGTGTGTGTGTGTGTGTGTGTGTGTGTGTGTCTGTGTGTACACAGATAAATAATTAAATAAGTGTAACACTTTTTAAAGGTGCCAGGCAGTAGGGACCTGAACCCTGTCACGGAGCTTCGGAAGTACATCTCTGTTTTCTCCATCCTTCTCACAAAGTGGCCTCTGGTGTTCGTCTGGTACAAGATGGTGAGACACATGGCAGTGTCCATCCCTACAGAGGATGACCAGCACCTCCCCCCACCCCGCTCCCCGATGTGTGGTTCAGGATACTCGCACCTCTGCCGTCCCCACGACGGTTTCTGTTTGTTTCCTTTGTGGGTGAGTAGAATTTTGAGCACAAACTGTAAGCCTCTTCTGGAGAGCTCACTGTGCTCAGGCTCCAACATGTAGCTTCCTCCATCATCTTCATACTCAGTGTTTCAATTAGCTGACCTGGACACCATCCCAGGTATGGTTCCACTTGGCTTTGACAGGAAAACGATTTTGCAACGTTATTGAATTTGTTATCATCTCTTAGTGTGAACAAAGCCAGTATATCTCTCATTATCAATGTTTACTTAATTAGGCTAGTTAAAGCATACTTTTTTTACCCTTCAGATAATTTTACATTTCTATGCAATTTACCTGGCATTGAGGAAACATTCAGTGTTCAAAAACATGGAAGATTTGGTCAAAGGTCAATAAGCAATAAATGTTAGATTCAGAACTTGAATTTAGAATCTTTTTCTTTCCATATTTTATTTCTATTTCTTGTGTATTTTTATTATTCAGAAAAAAGAGGGCGTATCCTGGATAAGGAGGACTAGATGGGCTCTTTATTCTGATTTACTGCTCAGACACCCACAGGTCATAGAATTATATGCCAACTTTTCTGTAGAAAAAGGTGACAGGTGAGAGAGAGCTCGGGTGGCTGAGCCAACATCTGGCCTCGAAGCCACGTTCACAGGAGTCTTCAGTACCGAGACAATCTCAGAACTTCAGAGCACAGAGTTCTACTGTGGATCCTTTAGAACTAGGAACACCGAAGCAAACACTTCAGAACCAGAAACAAAACTCAAAGGCAGAATGGGCCTGGCATGGTCAGGTGACGACCTCAGTGGCTGAGATAATGGGTCTCTGGTGGTGGTGAGGGAAGCGGGTGCTGACTCCCGGGAGAAGGACAGCAGTGCTGTGACGGGCACCCAAGAACTGGGAGTGTGACTGTCTTTGGAGACCTCCTGTGGAGTCTGGCAGGTTGAGCAAATTTCCACTCTAGTAGAAGTGATCACACCCAGAAATTCATTTCTGAAGAGATGTCGGTGGGTGGGCACCCAGAGTCACCCTCCCGATTGGAAGTCACAAGGACCGAATGATGCTAGATAGCCCAGTAGAATCCATTTATGACTAATTCACAGGGATAGTCTGTCTGGACCATCCTCATTTATTTAATGAGTGAGAGGTAGAGCAATGAAGAACAACTTTTAGCTCATCCCAGAATTAGGGCTGACTCAACTTTGCGCTTGTCTAACTTTGATTCCTTTACTCCTAAGCAGACAGATGCTACCAAAACCCACTGGCAGTTATTATTGTTGTTGTTGTTATTGCTGTTATTATTATTGATCTACAACATTTAAAGCTATTCTGTCTTTGCCCCTCTGGTTCCTGAACTTGGCTAGGCAGGACATAGAGTAGTACTGGCCATTAGGGGGCCAGGACCTATGACTGGTGTGACCAATGACTCAGGTGTGAGGCCAAGTCTTAGCATACCTGGAAGGGAGGCATGCTTGCCTTTAATAAAGGTCTTCTCATTAAGATATCCCTCCTTGACTCTGTTCCATTCTTCTCTCACAGAAGTAGAGAAAAAAGCATGTCTTCAGAGAGAATTTACAGAGGCTGAATGATTCTGTTTCTTAGGGAGAAGCAGCTATCGTCTGGGGAAGCACATGTAGATTTGTGTCAAATGTTTATGAACATAAAGACTGAGCAATCTGTTCTTCCCATCTGCTTTCCACGAGGGGCAAGTTCCCTTATATAGCGATGCATGGATTTTCCCGATACAAGGTGGTCTTTAGGAAGGAATGCCATGGCAGCAGCTCCTTGTGTAGTGAGGTAGGGGCACAGGGTATGTGAGGAGGACTTTTAGAACAGGAGTCGGGAATTTGGTCCCTCGGTTTTTCTCTTCTCAGGGTGTGGTGGTAGCATTGCCAGCCCGGGCTTCTGAAGAGGCCGTTAGGAAAGCACTCAGATTCAAGATGGACTGTTTTCACAGAGAGCAATGAAAGAGGGGGCCGAGTGGGCTTTCTCATGCTTTAACGCAGATAATAAAAAGAGCCCTGCGCTGAGCTCAGGGTGGATTACATCTAATCCACCTGTCCTTCTCCCGGGAGTCAGCACCCGCTTCCCTCACCACCACCAGAGACCCATTATCTCAGCCACTGAGATTGTCACCTGACCATGCCAGGCCCATTCTGCCTTTGAGTTTTGTTTCTGGTTCTGAAGTGTTTGCTTCGGTGTTCCTAGTTCTAAAGGATCCACAGTAGAACTCTGAGGTGTGGATTACATCTAAACTCTGTTCTGGCTTTTAGAGGTAAGGCAGAAGGGGACAAGTATGTTGGCTATGTTGAGAGAGCAAAAAGGAGAGAGAGTATGATAGCCATGTGTGGGCATTCACAGCTGCATGCACTCAGACACTGCTTTTACGACTGTATTCAGCAGAAGGTGGAAGGCGCTGGAGCCAGAGGGTGGGTGTTGGCTGAGGCTGGGCCAGGGTGACTCAACCAATGGGAGGAAAAGGCTGTGTGTTATTATTTTCTACTAAACAGCCAGAGTGGACACAGGACTGGAGCTATGAAAAGAATGCTCTCCACTGTGTGTCAGCCATGCAGAGGGCAGTTTTATTTCCAGGCTGTAGATTAGAGCCAGGTAGAAGAATGGCCAAAAATTGTGCAGAGGATCTGAAAGATGATTTCCCCCCTCCCTCCTCTGTGTTACATGAGGCTCTCTCTGCCTCAAAGTAAATAAATTAGATTAAATAAATACAGCCATGGTCAAGTTTTATTCAATAAAGTAAATACACGCAGGCTCACAAGGAAGTTGATGACACCTATAGTTTTTTTTTTCTCCCCATTGCACCTTTATTGTTCGCTCAGTTCACTGTCCAGAATTACAGTTTTTCCAGAATCACACAGCCTGGTAGGTAGCGCCCGCCCGCAGATGTCTCTCATATTTCTAACCGCCCTCTCTCCCATCTTTATTTGTGCCATATTCTGCCAGCGTCCAGGGAGTTCTTAGGTTGTTTCCTGGTGTGGGGGAGGGGGAGCGAGGTGTGCAGAGGCGGCTCTCAGCAAAAGGACAGGCTCTCCTGCCATGGTCACCTTCCTCCTTCCCAAGCAGCATCCAGGCCCTCCCTGGGATAAGGAACCGGACAGGCTGGGGCTAGAACATGACTTCACTGGGTGCCAGGTCATCTCCAGGAAGATTCCTGGTCTGAACTGTCCTTCCTTCTTTTATGGCACAGGTGGGAGACTCTCCCTCTCATTGGCTGCTAAGAGGGCCCCACGACTTGTATGCGAAGTGTCATTTCTTTGGTGGGGAAGAGGAGACATCTCTGGCCAAAGCCAGGTGCTCATGGGTATTTGATTTATTAAAAAAAAAAAAAAGACTGGTCCCTTAGTGGAGCCCAAGAAATGACTCCTTCATGATGACATTTAAGGAAGGGGGCAGGCAGATCTCCCCCCTCAGTGTCATCTGAATCCAATGGGGCAGGCTGCTGCCATTTCTGCTCATATCAGAATGAGCCGTCCGCTGCAGCCAGGCTGGAGCTATGTTAGGGAGCCAGGGAGCAGGGGAAGTTTGTAGCTATCCAAGCATCCCGTCAGAGAGGAAACAGCTCTGAGTGGGTGGAAACCAGCTTTAAAATGTGCAGGGGTCCTTTACAGAGATCATTAAGCCCCCTTCCAATGCCCTTGAAGGGTCACTTGTCACAGCAGTGTCTTTACAGCAGGAACTGACTGTGTGCACACTCTTGCAGTGGGGGGGGGTTTCACACCGTTCACATCCCACTGGCTTCCGAAGAGACCCCCCACCCCTAGGCGTCTCACCAAGGAAAGGATGGCACTCTGCACATTGAGCTTGCCCCGTTCCCATTGCTCACGGTCACACACAAAATAAATAAATAAATAAATAAATAAATAAATAAAGAAAGAAAGAAAGAAAGAAAGAAAGAAAGAAAGAAAGAAAGAAAGAAAGAAAGAAAAATCTGATAAACGTGGTTACAGGAGTGAATGAGCAACGCTGCCAGTGAGCTGGTGCTCCATCTCACGGGTGACCTGCAGGCAGGGACACACTCATCTTCCTCAGTAGTAGTCCTTTGAAAACAGGTTGAAAGCTGATCTGCCCTTGGCCCTTGTTCATGCATAATTGTCAGCAAGGGCAGGGCGCATCTAAGGTCTGCATGCCCACAATCCATTCACATCTCTGACGGAACAACAAAAAGCCACTCGACAATCTTGAATCATGCACCAGCCAAGAGCGCGGCTGGCATTACGGAAAAAAATGTCCTCTAGTCCAGCCCTGAGGAGAGGAGAAAGGGAGAGGAGAGGAGAAAGGTGAGGAGAAAAGAGAGTAGAGGGGGAGGGGGAGAAGAATGAGAGCAAAGGAAAGGAGAGAATGAAAGAGGGAGGAGAGGAGAACTAGAGACTGGGAAGGAAGGGGTGGAAGGAAAAAGAGAGGAGGGACAGAAGTGGGGAAGGGGAAGAGCATGAAGGGAAAAGAGTTGAGATGAGCTGAGACCATGGGACGGCTATGGAAAAAGATGTCCTGCAGTTGATAGAGCAAAGCGATTAAAACCAAGAAGAGCTATGGATCCAGAAGCGCTTCTCCAAATATTTGGTTCATGCTAAAAAATAGAGCACATTTATTAAAAATATATATTTATAAACCTTGATATGAACAGGTACACACATCAAGCCAATGAAAAAGGAAAAATAAGTAATCTCCCGTATCAAATAGCTGGAAACATTTGATAAATGGGATGCCTGCCAGTGAGCCCCACCTAGAGCTTATCCCGCTCGTCCTGGGAGGTGGGCAGCTGAGCTGCGTGTGCCACAGTCGTCCTCTTTTCCAGGGTGGGGTGTGGTCAGCACTCCAGGACGAGGCATTTCCTCACCACTAGGGCCAAAGGCTGGTCATTCCAGCATCCGGCCAGGTCCCTTGCCAGAGACACTGAGTTCCTTGTGGCCTGAATAAATTTCATTGGATTCATTGTGCTTCAGAGTGTCTGCTCCTCACAGAAGGGTGGGTTCATTTGTTGACCCATGAGAAAGTTTGAAGGTGCATTGATGGAGCAGTGCGTGGTACGCAAACCTACTGGCCCCCCGAGGTGTGTGCTTACCAATCTATGGACGCACAGGAGCCTTGTCTCGTGGCCATCCTGATGCCGCCCAGGATACGTGGGGCCTTTCATAGAGTGGTGTATATGTACACAAAGATGATGACGATCAGGTTCAGGATGGTCCCAATGATGCCCAGCATGGCCAGCACGCTCTCTTCTTTGCTCTCTTTCTCTTGGCCTCCCCGGTCTTCATCATTTCCACTCGTGATTACCATCTTGGTCGCAAATGTCTTTATCTTCCTCGCCAGGCTAACCTGCAGTGAGGAGAGACAGAGCAGAAGATGGTCATTTCCCAGCTTCCTTGCCGAGGTCAGGTGGAAGGGTGGGGTGAGCACAGGCTTCATGGGTGGGAGTGACATCCAGAGCAGCTAACACAGTCTTGGGATCGATCCCTCTTGGTCACTGAGAGACAGCAGAACATGGGTCCTGGGGTAGAGGGTTTCTCAGCCAATCAAGTGTTTGCCTTGCAAGCTCAGGGGTCTGAGTGAGAGCCCCAGCACCCACAAACAAATCACACATACTTGGAATCCCATTGTTGGGGAGGTAGGCACAGGACAATTCCCCTGAGGCTCACTGGCCAGTCAGTCTAGTCTAACCGGTTAGCTTCAGGAAAATAAGAGATACCGTCTCAGAGGTGGACAACCTTCCTAAGGATGACAGCCTGAGGGTGACCTCTGGCCTCCAGAAACATGCACACATGTGTATGTGCACACATGAACACACACACACACACACACACACACACACACACACACACACACACACACGGATGTCAGCACACAAGTCAAGGATTTCAGAGATGAGATGTTAATAACATAAAGACATGCACCCTGAAGGCCAGGCTTTGGGCCACCCACCCAGTGTAGCTTGCCCTCCCCTTTCCTGTGGAGCAGAAGCAGGCAGCTGTTATAGTCATGCTAAGTATATGAGCGGGGAGCTCATATACTTTTCCGTGCTGCGTCAGACCCAGGAGATGAGTCCTCCTCAGTGTTCAGGAGGGCATGGGGGAGTCAGAGCTGCATGTGCTCTGAAGCTCTGGCTGAGGTAGGGGCAGGAGTAGGCAGGTCTATGAGGAGGTGATTCCGTACTCAGAGAGGCTGTGAGCACGCCCTGTGAGGTGTGAAGGACGTGGCCCCACGAGACTCTCATGGTCTCTGGCAGGAATACGTGCTGGCACAATTGCTCTGGAACACCGTTTGGCACAAGTTAGGAAAGCAAAGAGACATCGTCTAAGCTGGCACCTGCTCCCCCAGCTGTGCACATGACAGAGAGAGAGGGAGAGGGAGAGAGGAGAGAGAGAGAGAGAGAGAGCCCTGCTTTATGCACCTGGAGACCCAGAGGCCACTTCCCCAGCTGCAGCAGCAGCTGTCCCAGCAAAGGGCTGGAGGCTGCCCAGGTGTGCGCCGGTGCCCATGTGGTAACAGAGCCACAGGCTTGGAATATGCCATGACAGTGGGATGGCACAGCTGCAGCTGTCCCGGACAGCATGGACCAAGCCCAGACACGGGGGGAAAGCGCTGCACAGCAGAATGTGTTCAGCCTGCGTCTATCTGTGAAGGCTTCACACAGCAATGTTTGGGCCACGTGTGCTTTGAGATCTGTAACAAGCAAAGAGGGATGGACATGAAATTTAGGCACATGCCTTCCTCCAGCCAAAGCAGCTCAGCAGCCTGCAGAAATGCCGATCCCTCCTTGTGTAGGCTGGGTGGTGGACACTGGGGTGTTCCGTGTTATCACTGTGAATGACATGTTTCTGCTATTCTTTTGTATGCCTTGTGCATTTTCAATAGGCAAGACTAATGTTTATGTATCAAGGTAGTTAGCTCAGCCATCCAGAGGCAGGCAGGGTCAGAGATTGAGACCTTCCCCATCTATTTCTACCCCAATTATACTTGAACTATGCTCACACGTAGAGTCTTTATTGGATGAGATCCGGGGACAGGCCAGATCAGACTTTCTCCATGAGGAAACTGCACCTTTTCAGCTAAAGGCTTTCTGTTGTTTAGAGGATAGCATGGATGATAATAGCTCTATGTGTGCTGATTGGTTTTTGTCAACTTGACACAAACATAGACATACCTGGGAAGAGAAACTTCAACTGAGGCAATGCTCCTATCCAATTATCTGTAGACAAATCTATAGAGCATTTTCTTGACGAATGATTGGTGTGGCAGGGGTGGGGCTACCACAGGCAGTTGATTCTGAGCTATTTAAAAAAGCTGTGTATGAGTCTCAGCATCTGCTCTGATACCCTGCAGGGTAGAGCCTTTCAGAGGCCCTCTGTAGTAGGCTCTTGTCCTGTCCCCAGTTTTCTCCCACTTCTGAGGTCCATCCTCTTTGCCTTTCTGAATGGGGATTTAGCATCTTAGCCAGAGTCCTCCTTCTTGATTAGTTGCTTTAGGTATACTGATTTTTAGTATGTTTATCCTATATTATATGTCTAATATCCACTTATGAGTGAGTATATACCCTGTGTGTCTTTCTCCTTCTGGGATATCTCACTCAGGATGATCTTTTCCAGTTTCCCACCATTTACCTGCAAATTTCATGATTTCCGTGTTTATTTTTTTTTTATTGCTGAGTAATATTCCATAGTGTAGATGTACCACAATTTCTGTATCCATTCCTCAGTTGAGGGGAATCTGGGTTGTTTCCAGCTTCTGGCTATTACAAATAAAGCTGCTACAAACATAGTTGAGCTTATAGCCAAACTTCAGGCAGAGTGCCGGAAATCTTATGAAAAAAGTGAAAAATAGACCTGGAGAGGACAGGGGCTCCACAAGGAAAGCAACAGAACCAAAAAATCTGGGCACAGGGGTCTTTTCTGAGACTGATACTCCAACCAAAGACCATGCATGGAGATAACCTAGAACCCCTCCACAGATGTAGCCCACGGTAGTTCATTGTTCAAGTGGGTTCTATAATAATGTAATAGGGACTGTCTCTGACATGAACTGATTGACCTGCTCTTTGACCACATACCACTGAGGGTGGGTACAGCCTTACCAGGCCACAGAAGAAGACAATGCAGCCACTCCTGATAAGACCTGATAGACTAGGATCAGAAGAAAGGGGAGGAAGACCTCCCCTATCAGTGAACTGGGTGAGGGGCATGGGTGGAGAAGAAGAAGAAGGGAGGGTGAAATTGGGAGGGGAAGAAGGAGGGAGCTACAGGTGGGATACAAAGTGAATAAACTGCAATTAATAAAAAAAAATAAAAATAATAAAAGAAAAGAAAATTGTGGAGACCAAGCCACTGAGCAGAATTCCTCTCTGGCTTCTGCCTCAGTTCCTGTCTTCAGATTCCTGCCCTGACTTTCCACAACAATGGACTGTCAGCTGAAAGATGAAATCGACCCTTTACTCCCAAGTTGCTTTTGGTCACGTATTTAACACAGCAATAGAAATCTAACTAAAAGCTGTGTGTGGTGGTGCATGACTGTAATCCCAGCACTCAGAGAGGCACAGGCAGGTGGATCTCTGTGAGTTTGAGGCCAGCCTGGTCTACAAAGTGAGTCCAGGACAGTCAAGGCTACACAGAGAAACCCTGTCTTGAAAAACAAATATTATTAGGACAATATGAGTGAATAGACACATGTATGTCACTAAATGTGTAGAGGTGCACATACACGCGCATGCACACACAGAGCCCTGCCCGAGTGCTTGCGTGCGCGCATGCGCGCGCGCGCACGCGCGCGCGCGCGCACACACACACACATCACACATGCTCACCTAAACATGCTTCCTCACACATCATTGGTTCTGTTTCTCTGGAGTCTCCTGACTAATGTGCAGATCAAATGACGTCTCAGGAGCTGCATCCCAGGAGGGATCAAGGGCAAATCCAGGTGTTAGGAGTGAGAAGCAACCGTGGACCCCTTCCCACCCCTTCTGTTGTGCACATGGACCCCTGAAAAGCCTGGACCGCACCTCACAGCGCAATCCACTATACTGAATATGGTATACTGTCCTTGTGAAAGACAGCGCCCCTCAGCCCTCAGTGGTAGCTGGAGAGACTGATGATGGATTCTGAAGTTCTATTTTCCTCACAACCGCGGCTTGCTCAATGGGCTTTGAGTGGGTTCTGACGCCCAGAGCAGTCAGGAAAAGCTTCTGTTTGGTCTTTCTTTCTTTGATTTTTAACGCTGTATAAAAGGATGTGCTCTCTCTCTCTCTCTCTCTCTCTCTCTCTCTGTGTAGCCTGGTGTAGTCTTTAGTGCTAAGATTAAAAGCAGAGCACCCTTGGGGCCTCCCTCGGTGACCATTAAGTAGTGTCTGTCCCTTGCTCCCTCCTTTTGACAGCTCTCAAGTGACTCCTAACCCCACAGGCAGCTTTGCCTGGTTTTGAATCTTTTACAAATGGATTCACACAGCATTCTCCCCTAGGAGTCAGACTTCTTCCCCCTCCACGTCGTTTTGCAAGGCTCACCCATGAGGCTGGGTACAGCTGCGGCTCCTCCACTCTCACTTAGGGGCAGTGGTCTTTTGGAGCTACATACCCGTGACGGGTGGATCTACTCTACCATTGAGAGGAGTCGGAGAGGCTTCGGGTTTGGGACTACTGTGAGTAGCACTGCTGGGACCATTCTTGTCCTCATCCTGTGATGCCATACGTCGCTGTTTCATGGGAGAGTGCTCCACCTCTAGCAAAGCTGGAGGACTTGATCAGGGACTTGATCAGGACTTGATCACATTTACCTGCTGCCCCACTCCTGTGTGCTGGGGTGTGCTCGCTCAACACACACCTCCCCACCTTCTGTTACAGAGCATTTCAAAGCAAAGTGCACGCCTGAAGACTCCCCTTAGAGACCGCAGCAGGCGGGTTTTGCTTCTAGTCCCACACCCATCCCCATTCTTCTCTGATGTACGGACATGTGAGTAGCGTCTTCCTAGCTACGTACACTCGGCAGAGGAAAACAGGCATGGGGCATGTGCGTGTGACTTTAGTAGTATTGTCAAATGGATTTTTTTCAATGCAGTGATGTCTGTTTGTTGGCCAGTGAGGACTGACTCCCTTCCCCTTTGATTTTGGCCACTCTGAGGTCCAGACATTACCTAAAACCTGAAGAAAGTTCCTCAGAGACAGCCACTCCTTATTCACTCTGGGTGGAGGGTATCCAAACACCAGCCCCTCCTCTGCCTGGGCCTTTGTTACTTGTCTGCTTTTTTCTCTAGGCTGAGTCCTGGGCCAGGTTCGAGCCGCTACCTCAGAGCACAGTGCCCAGGAGAGCCGTGCTGAGTGAACGAGCAGGTC